ACATAGGGGAGAGTGTGAGCTAATAGAAGGAATTGAAAAATGAATTGGTTAATTAAAACAAATTTAAAAGAACATATTAATAATAAACATTTTATAAGCGTTATTGTTGTAATATAGTGAAGTTACTGTGCCTGAAAACTTTATCTACGATTGCATATAAAAAACTTCCAACATGTCCTTTATAACAAAAAAAAGTCCTTTATAACATGTCCTTTATAACATGTCCTTTATAACAAGATTTAGTAAAACTTGGTACAGAACTTGGCGAGAAAGTTGAGGGTGATCTCAGAGTGATAGACTTATGGAGGCTGATCAAGAAATTCACAGCGAATATAGAATTTGTGAAAAAACGTATTAGATAATATAATAACTGAAAGATTAGAAATTGAAACCGAGGAAAAAGAGCATAGAGCTAAAAAGAGCAAAATCATGCAAAGACAGCAGAGGAAGCACGGATAGCTCAAGAAAAAGCTGAGGAACTAAACCCATTCCACTAATTTCAAATGTAGGAGTTTCGTCTACAGATTGAAGTTCAACGATTTGTACAGCCATTAGCTAATACCAACATTGACCCTGATGTTTAACCAAATTTACACTTAATGAAGCTACTTCCAGGCATTAATCCTAAAGAATTAATTTATTTAAAGTAAATTTAAATTTTTATATGTAGACAAAGAGCGGTGGTTTGAGTATCTATTGAATGTGTTATCTAATAGTATTACCCAACTTATTACTGGAGAAGCTGAGGACAAAGTCAAAAGACGACAAATCTGAGGCTCAAGTTGACGATGCCCTACAGCCAACCCTTTACTACGTGATTTTTTATAGTATTTCAATGGAAGGTCATCAAAAAGCATAATTGACGTTACGATTTGGGGTACAAAAAGAGGCCCATATTGGGCCTACACATTTGGTTCCTAGAGAAAACATCATTTTCTGAAAAGTAATATTCACTTATTCAATAATGGTACTGCGCGCATATCCCTGGCTGACGGACATGTACAAAACACAGAAATTCTCACTTCGACGGTGAATATTGGTGTCGAAGGTAAAGTAATTCTTACTAAACTTAAAATCTTGAAAACTGTTAACGGAGATCGACTTTGTTCTCGGCGCAGATTTTTAAACCATATATTGTTCGAACTGATTCAAGCAATTGTGCGCTTGGAGCTGTATTACTTCAAAATGCTGGGTCAGATGAACATCCAATACGTAAACCGACTGTCTTCTCAAGAAGAAAGCACTATTCGGCAAAGGAAAGAGGTTCTCGCTGTTGTTTGGGCTCTCAAGAAATTTCGTTAATACTTTAAGAAATAAGAAGTAACTGTGACATCCGACCACCAACCTTTTGAGGGGTTTCTTATTGAATTCCTTCTATTAGCTCTACTCTCCCTATATATATACCTTGTTCAAATTTTCAATCGTTCATAAAATACTTTTTATTCATCCACTCGAGTTCAAATACATTTCTTTTGAACTTGTAGTGTAGGACACATTGATGTTAATTAATACAGTTTATTCAAATATTAATTCAGTAATTAAATTTAATTAATCAATTTTAGTTTTTAGAATTAGTTGCAGATATCTACCAATAGATGGCGCCAGATGAACTAACTGAACTGTTAAATGAATGAAAATAATTTATAAAGGACTATCTGCAATCTAGTGAAAAAAAGTAGGAATTGACTTTAAAAAATTTTTTTTTATATTACTTGTTTTAAAATCTGCAATAGGTAGACTTACTCGATGGACGCGAGAAATAAAATCCTATAATATTAAAATACAATACACCCAAGGCAAGATGAATGCGTTGCAAAATCTATTAAGCTAAGGAAAATTTATTGCAATTCCATTAAGCTGAGGCTACACTACGCCCCCCTTCATGATGGACCCCATGTCATCCTATCACAAAGATCCCCACTTTCTATGAAATTGCAAGTTTAGATTGTCCTCAAGTGCATATTGGTGTTCCAGGCTTCAGCTCTAAAATATTTTCTCCAGATTTGTTCGATATCACCAATAAGACCTCTCAGAAAAGCTAGTTGACCCCTTGCAAAAACTGGACAGATTGTGTCTAAAACGATCTCTACTGTTTCTATAAAGTAGTTTATAAATAAAATTGCTAGAAAGAAGTTTATGAATAAAAAAATTGCTAAAATGCAGCTTATAAATAAATATTGATGAAAAGTTATTTATAAAACAATATTGATAAAAACTGCATTATAAATAAAAATTACTGAAAAATAGTCTATAAATAAAAGTGTTTTGGGAAATACTTTGTAAATAAAAATTGTTAGAATGTATATAATTAAAAAATTACAATAAAATAGTTATAAATAAATATTGCTAGGAAGTAGTTTATAAAAAATATTTTACAAGAAATTAGTTATAAATAAAAATTGCTAGAAAGTAGTTTTAAAAAATACAAAAAAAAAATAGTAATAAATAAAAATTTGCTAAAAAGTAGTTTTACAAATAAAAATTTCTAGAAATTGGTTTATAAATAAAAATTGCTACAAAGTAGTTTATAAATAAAAATTGCTAGAAAATAGTTTATAAATACAAATTTTTGGAAAGATGTTTATATAAAGAAAATTTCTGAAAAGTTGTTTATAAATAAAACCTGCTCCAAAACGAGCATTTCAGTAAATATTTGAGAATTTGAGAACAACTTGTTTATGGGTTAAAATATCATTACTAAATCATTCTTTCAAATATCGATTTCATGTACCGAATTCAGAATAATTTAATCTTCTGAATTGTCCATTTGTCAGAGAATACGACATGGCTCGTTTTACAAATATACATTCTCTGTTTTGAATATTCCAATTTTAATGTTGAAATTAAATTTGAATTACTGAGTTAATATCGAGTTTGTTATTAGCTGACATTGTGCCAAAGGCGTCAATATTGTATGATAGTAAAGTATTTTATTTTAGTTTGTGTGACACGAATTTGAATACAATTTTGATGACGGAAAATCTTGAATTAAATATAATATGATTGAAGGAATATATGTTATATAATTTATTATTTGATTACTTATTAATTTAGTTGACATTAAAATGGCAATTAGAATAACTGAATAATTTTAAAATAGTAAATAAAAGTAATTTATAGTAATTTCTATTCATGTAGTGAGCAGTTTGAGCAGCTGTATTGTAACTAGGTGTGGTTGGGTTGTGACTTGAGACACAGGTTTGAGAACTCACAGCTTTTATTTATACATGCACAAACATGACAGACATACAATATGCACATTCAAAAGACATGTAATTATAGATTCGATGAAGGATTCCACTTCTAAGCCTAAAATAAAGATACTCAGGTTTGCGCAAGATGCGCGAAATATACTTCCTTTCCGGGTGAGAGTCTGTAGGCCAACTCATACGCAGGGTGCGTGAAATATATTTCCTCTCAAGATGAGAGAAATATAAATTCTCAGCGGCTCTCTATCAATTCTCAGCGGGCGCGCAGGTTGCGCTGTACATCCTCTCGTGTGACAGTCTCGAAGCCTACTGACTATTTCTCCTGAACGCCACAGGAGGTGCTCGGGCCAGTGGTAGGAGGTAGTACTGTTACATTTATAAATTCTACCAAAATCAAAAAACATTTGTCCACATCAGATGTGTCCAAAATCAAAATAGCTCAAAAAAACTGTTTTTAAGAACACATTGCTGCAATTTCTAAGAAGTTGAGTCCTCGCATTGTGAAATAAAATACCTTTAACCGAGCTAACTAATTTCCCGGCACTACAATCCATGTTGGGCCATGGCAGTCTGCCTACTGGCACACTCAAAACAGGAGATATTTTCTTTTTTTTTGAAGGGTAGGGTTTTCAATCCTACTTACAACGTTCTGCAGTCACATTGAACTGGGACCTGATGGCCAGTGGCTAGCACTGTGGCGTTCGATACTACAGGTTTTGGGTTTGAATTCCGGCGGTGCCCTGGATGTTAGTAGTAGTTCGGAATCCACTTTAAACCGTAGGTCCCGGTCTAATATGATCGTAGAGCGTTGTTCAAGAGCCCAATCAGACTTCTAACCCACATCATTCCCAAACTGTATAGGGGCAACTCAGTTCTAGGCATATTGATATGGTGTACTAGTAATCATATCGGACCGGGAGTTGCTGTTAAAGGTAGATATCGAAGTACTACAAGTACCCATGCCCCAGCCAGTACTCGAAGCAGAATCCTGGGCCACAGATCGGCAGACCTCTAGTCACTCTTCCATTAGGCGAATTCATTAGATAACATTACTTTAAAATACTGATTTCATTTATGAAATTCACAATAATTAACATCCTAAATTATCTATTCATGACAGAGACCGATGCCAACCATTAGACAATAATATATTATCTGTTTTAAACCGATGTGAAATTCAGTTTAAGTTAAAGTTTAATAAGGTAATTGTTAGTACTAGTGGAAAACCCTTTTCTGAAAATTCTGAAAAGAACTTCTAATATGATTAGGATGAAGGATTACTTAAATAATATGTTATTGCAGAAATCTGTTTCCTGTTTATAATGATTTACATATTTTTATTATTGCTTGTTATTATTTATTATAAATATAATCAAAAATGAATCAACATAAAATTTCAATACAAAATGAAAATAAGACTAAATATTGATTCCATCAAAGTGAAGAATTAATTAAATGTAGAGTGTGATTACAGAAATCTGTTTTCCTTATTCTGATTTATATATTGATGTTATTATTTGTTATTATTTATATATTGTTATTATTATTTATTATAAATATAATAAATAATGGAAAAACATAAAATTTCAATATAAAATGAAAATAAGACTTTCATTCTATCAAAATGAAGAATTAAATATATGATATATATGTGATTACAGAATTCAGTTTATTGTTATGATTATTATTATTGTTATTATTATTATAATATCATTATTATTATTATATCATTATTATTATATCATTATTATTATTTATTATTATGATATTGTATTATTATTTATTATAAATCGTTAGATCACCGAAGTCAAGCATCATTGGGAGCGGTCAGTACTTGGGTGGGTGACCACCTGGGAACACCGCGTGCCGTTGGCTTCACACATTTGGGACCTGAATGGGCGAGTGTCTAGCGCTCTGGCGCTGGTGCCACAGGTTTCGGGTTCGTATCCCGATGGTGCCCATGGATGTTTGTAGTGGTTCGGAATCCACTTTAAGCAGTAGGTCCCGGTCTCCTATGACTGTAAGAGCGTCACGGAACAAAAAGTCAGACTTCTACCTACGGGTGCTCCATCACAACAGAAGCTGCTTCCCTTTCCCTTTCAATCATGAGTACGTATGGGCTCGTGGGCTTGGCCAGCCAAGTGGGATAAGAAACAACAACATTTATTATAAATATTGACAATGAAAATAATGGATCAACATAAAGTTTCAATATAAAGTGAAAATAAATGTATTGATTTCATCAAAATGGAGAATTAAATATCGGTGACATATATGTTATTACAGAAATCTGCTTCCTATTTATGATTTATATATTGCTATTACTATTTGTTATTATTTATATATTGTTATTATTTATTATAAATATAGTCAATAATGGATCTACGATAAAATTTCAATGTAAATAAGACTAAGTATTGATTCCATCAAATTAAAGAATTAAATATAGATTTGTTATATAAAAATGTATTAATATATAATAAAGTTAAAGAATTTAAAGACAAACTTTTTTTACCAATAATAATCTAATTCTTAGAGTAGGTGATTTTCATGATGGAAATTAAAAATAGTCACTAAACTAGTCTTTATAGATATATATTTCTTCTACCAAATTTCGAATTATTTTAATCTCCGAAATTATGGATTTATTTGGGAGATTTTTATAAAACGTATTTATCAATTTCCTTGTATCAATGACATACACTCAAGAGCAAAACATTATGACCACCTGTCAATAACGAGTTGGCCACCTTTGGCGCGCAACACAGCTTCAACCCGCCTTGACAGGGATTAATACCACCACTTAATACCAGTTAAATACCACTTCCACCCGATCACGTGCCTTCCACGTCATCCAGGCGAGTTCATTGTAAAATGTAGGGGTGGTCATAATATTTTGGCTCTTGAGTGTATATATATATTTATCAATAACGTAAATATATTGTATAACATATTTATCAATTTCCATGTATCGTCTATTTTTAGTGTTTCAATTTTAAATGGAATTATTTAGCAGGCCTACATTATCTATTTTAAGCATTATTTTAGTTTAGAAGGCTTAGTTTATAAGTACTTATCAACAAAATGCCATCCTTTTCTCCGAGAAGTTAAGATTTAGAAAAAAAAAGACAAAAATTTTAGTTTGCAAATTATTCAATAGCTCTTGAACTATACTAAAATATTGAGTTAGTTTATTATGCGTCAAATTATGTCAATATTGTATCAGATCAAAGTCAATTTTTTTCCCCTATGACTGATCCGAATTTCGTTTGAAGAAAATCTCGCTTTAATCATTATGTGATTATAGGAATCTGCTTCATTATTTATTATAATGATTAAAAAGTCATTATCTTTTATCATTATTAATGATGGCATAATTCCGCGAAATCTCCGAAGGATAATTTGTCAGAAGAATTTTAGAAAGTCATTACAATAAATATCCCCATTTTCTGGCAGTCCTTTTTGTTTCTTAATAACATTAATTTTCCGAGTCACTTTTTTTAAAAGACTCAGCGAAGAGATGATGATTATTTTGCTGATTTCTTTCTTTTTGAATAACTGTTTGTTGGAAAATAAACAATTTGTTAAGCTTTACTGTTTTTTTTTTTGGCGAGTAAATTAATAATTTGTAGTTTTGAGTGCCTTTCTTCGTGGTTTTTTTTTTTGTTTATTGTTGTTGTTGTTTTGTTTTTCAGCTAGTTTCAGATCTTTTCACAAGATTGATAGATGAATATGTATTTATGTGAAATAATGAATGCGAGTTTATTTATAATTTGTAGTTTTGAGTGCTGCTTGTTTTCAATTCAAAAGATAATAGTTACTTAAATATCTTCTAAATTCAATCTGTAATTTTTAGGGGTCAGTAACTTCCGTGTACAATTGTTATTGTTTCTTATTTCACTTGATCGACAGCAATATCTAGACCAAGCTTAAGAACTCATGTGGTCTCATAGAATAAGGGAAATCCAGGCAGCTTCTGTTGGGATGGATGCGTAGGTAGAAGTCTGACTTGACTCCGAGTCGCTGAAGGAGGAGAGCAGTGCCTTCCGGATGGACTTTTTATGGATAATTACCCCACATTTTCGTATCGCAAGGGAGAAAAGCCAGGAAACGCCTATCAGATAATCCTACTAATGATGGGGCCTGATGGCCGAGTGACTAATGCTCTGGCTATCGGTGCCACAGGTTTCGATTCAAATTCCGGCGGTGGCATGGATGTTTGTAGTGATTCGGAATCTACTTTAAAACGTAGGTCCCGGTCTAATAGGATCGTAGAGCTTTGGGGGGGGTAGTGTTACTGGGTAGTGCTCCGAATGTCAGAAGAATTTTAGAAAGTCATTACAATAAATATCCCCATTTTCTGGCAGACCTTTTTGTTTCTTAATAACATTAATTTTCCGAGAACTTTTTCTTAAAAAGACTGGGCAAAGAGCTGATTATTATTTTGCCGATTTCTTTCTTTTTGAATAACTGTTTGTTGGAAAATAAACAATTTGTTAAGCTTTTCTGTTTTTTTGGCGAGTAAATTAATAATTTGAAGTTTTCAAGTGCTTTTTCTCCGTGTTTTGTTTTTATTTTTGCTTTTCAACTCGTTTAAGATCTTTTCTTAAAATTGATAGATGAATATGTATTTAAGTGAAATAATGAAGGCTTTTCATCAAACTCAGTTTTTAAATAGTCTGATCATTAACTAAAAGATAAATGCCTTTAAAAAAAAAAAAAAAAATGCTTTTTGATTTTGTCTCAAAAGAAAAGAGTTATTAAAACGTCTTTCAAGTTCAATCTAGAATTCTTATGGGTGGGTGGGGTAGACTTCTTATAGTGGGTGCAAGCAATCTGTTATTGTTTCTTATTGTACTTGGTCGACAGCAACATCTAGACCAAGTCCAAAAACTCGTGTTGTCTCATGGAAGGAGGACAACAGCTTCTGTTGTGATGGAGCACCCGTAGGTAGAAATCTGACTTAACTCCGTGTCGCTGTAGAAGCTGGGCAGTGCCTTTCGGTATGATTTTTGGGGGAACTACCCCACATTTGCGTATCGTATGGCAGGGAAAAACTAGAAAACGACCATCAGGTAGTCCGACTAATGATGGGGCATGATGGTGCAGTGGTTAGCGCTGTGGCACTCAGAACCACAGGTTTCGGGTTCGAGTCTCGGCAGTGCCATGAATGCTCATTGTCGTTCGGAATCCACTTTAAAACGTAGGTCCCGGTCAAATAGGACCGTAGAGCGTTGTGGGGTTAGTGTTACTGGGTAGTGCTAAATGAGTAACAGTGACGCAGCGCTTTCTTATGGCATAAAGATTAACTATTTGTATTGCCATCTGCATTAGGACAACATATAATATATTTATCACTTTACATGCATGCCTCATCTATTTTTAGTGCTTCAATTTTAAATGGAATTATTTCACAGGCATTCATTGTCTATTTTAAGCGTTCTGATTTAAATTTATGAGCCTTAGTTTACAAGACATTAAGTAAACTTATAAACTAAATGCTACAATTTTTTTTCAAGAAGTTAAGATTTAGAAAAAAAAAAAAAGATAAAAATTTTGGTTTATAAATTATTCAGTAGCTCTTGAACTATACCAAACTATTGAGATCAAAGTCAATTTTCTTTCGCCATGACACTTTAATCATTATGTGATTATAGGAATCTGTTCTCTCCCAATTCTCCAGAACGCCACAGGTGGCACTCTTGTCACTATGTAGGAGGAAGCACGGTTATAATACATTTTTTATTAGTGGTTCTAGCATATACTTTGTATGTGTGTTTTTAGAAATGTATTGGTATAATACATAGACTTAAGTGCGCCAACCATATGTATTTGTCTGTAACGGGAACGTGTGATGCATAAAACTTTGAAAAATTTAAAGTATAAAATAAATAATTTAATACAGATATTAAGGAATTTTATTCTAAATATCATGTACATTCAATGCTTAATGAGCTTTCATATTTTTTTTTGAGAGAGAGAGAACCAAGCGCAAATGTATTGCACAATTGGCTGGAAAAAATTTATTTTTAAACATAGATAAATGAAATTTTTTTGTTGGTATACACAGATCCAAATAGGCTTTCACAATTCAGTGCAATATTTAGCAATTGTTCCAGCTACTTTATCAAGCGTTTCTGTTAGGATAAAAAGAAACAAATATAAGTACAAACATAGATAAGGACACTACATCAAGATGAATAATTAGCTACAAAATAAAAAAAAAAAACACCGTGTAAAATATTTATCTGATATTTAAATATTTTTTATGAAACTGAATCCTGTTTCATTCTTTTATTTTTTCCTCAAAATCTGAAGATGTTTCGATATTTGTGTTGTTCAATTCCGTCTATTAGCTCACATTCTCCCTATATATATATCTTGTTCAAATTTTCAATCGTTCATAAAATACTTTTAATTCATCCACTCAAGCTCAAATACATTTTTTTAACTTGTGGTGGATGACACTGGATGTTAATACAGTTTTCTCAAATATTAATTCAGTAATTAAATTTAATTAATTAATTTAGGTTTTTTTAGATTTAAGTTACCTATATCTACCAATAGATGGCGCCAGATGAACTTAAAAAATGATTGGAAATTATTTATAAAGGACTTTCTGCAATATTGTGGAAAAAAAGTAGGAATTGACTTAAAAATTTTTTTTTATTACTTGTTTGAAAATACATTTACTATAGATCTAGCCAACAATTAAGTGGTCAACAGAGTGATTGTTTATGTTAATTTAGCTTAGCATTACGTGCTAATTAAATCATCAGATTTAAGAAAAGAATAAAGATGAATAAAATGGCAAATTATTTTTTGCACTCTAAAGTTTCTCCAAGTTTAATTATGCAAGTCAGTTATAAGA